CTAAGGGGATAGTACAGACATTTCTGCAAGTCAACTGACTTTGTATTAGAAATTAACAAAAACAGTTAGCAAAAATAGCCCAGTCCAAGTTTATCATTTTAGGGACTTTTAGGTGGCAGATTAAAAAATAGTTGTCAGAAATATACTAAATCCTATAATCCAACTCAATAGCATCATTACAGCCCCCCTGCCCACTTCATTCAGAGGCCACGCTCCCGGTTGGTAATGTAGGCTATCAGAAAAAGATTTTTTAACTTCGAGCTGAGATAACTCAAAGTCACAAAAGACATGATATTTACTTCCTAGTGATAGATAAACAGAGTTTCACTTGTAGAATCTGTAGAGTGCCCATTTAAAAAAGTGGTATCTCTTCATTTTTATTTGACAATCTGCAAATTCATTCCATCGTGTCATCAAATACAAACCAGCACCTATAACTGTTCCACACCTGTTTTGGCAGGGTATACTGGCCGCTGTTTGTACTGATTTTCTACGTGTTGAGCCCCATCCCAACCTTCATATCCAGACGCCTCAGTGACGACTCCGACTCCTCCAGCAATGCATGCAGAGAGCTGGCCTACTTCTTAACAACTGGCATCGTTGTTTCCTCTTTCGGGCTCCCTGTTGTCTTAGCCCGCAATAGCACAGTGAGTTCTCTCTACCCATGTTGAAAGGCTCATGTTTTTCTGTTTGTGTACATCCATGCTGTGTGCACCACATCAGATATTATTAATTTGTATATCTAAAGAAACATTTAAAACCAGTATAGCAAAATTGTATTGCTCAAGTTAATAGATTATTCCTGACATATTATGGATGCCAAGATTAAGATATTTCTCTCTCACAGATCCAGTGGGGTGCCTGCGGTCTGGTGATGACAGGAAACGCTGTCATCTTCCTCACCATCCTCGGCTTTTTTGTCGTGTTTGGAGGCGGTGATGACTTCAGCTGGGAGCAGTGGTAGAGTGCTGTTGGACAGTGGAAAGAAAGAAAGAAGGAAGGATAGATGGATAGATGGATAGATCATTTGGTGGTTTAGGTGGATAGCTGAATGGATTAACTGCAGGCTAAGGAGCATATGAGTCCTGCACTCAGTGGAGATGATGATGATCAGGCTGCAAAATGTCAAATGTCAATGTTATCAGGCTGACTTTTATATTGGGGGATGTTAGAGACAACGTTATGAACCCTATTAATGTGCCTTATGTCTGGAACCAGGGAAAGACCGATGCCTATACCCTGCCTATGCTTTAACACCATCACTGTCCACCTTAACCCGTGTATTTTAGCTTGTCTTGCCTTTGTTTCAACCTGCAAACCCCCCTGTTCATTGCAGCTGCCTGCTATTTTATTACTCTTCAGTTAATATCATAAAGGGATCCTTACACTAAAAGATAACCCTATTTTAAAGCACACCATAAAGCTCACTGCATTGCCTGCCCTCACTATTCAAGGGGGATGTGGCTGTACTTAACTATGGTTTGCTTAGCATAAGCACTGTTTGCTGTTTAAGTGTAAAGGCACGGCAAGTTATCTTAACCAATGCTATCTGACAACTAGTTGTAGGACTCGTAATCAGGTAAAAAATATATATATTTGTATTTTGGAAATGTGACTTTAAAGACTTGCATTTTGGTTCGGTGCAATCGTTTACGTTCTCACCAAAGATCATTTTAGACTGCACAAATAGAGCATGTTCACAACTGAACTGTAGGTGCAGTAACATGTTCCTCAAAAGTCATCAGATGTCTTTGAGGAAGCATTAATTAGTGCACATCATACATTTTATGTTCAGTGAGTGTGTTGAACTGATGTTCATGTGATATTGCTGCAGGTTACAAAGAAATTCAAACATACAGCAGATCATGTTTTCAGTTTATAAATGATTTTTTTCCATGTTGAATGGTAAATATTGTATATGAATATGTTTTGTTAGTCCAAGAGTATGTGTTTCATCCTTGGAGAGGAGAGGGCTTAACCTGCAAACTCTGTCCGAATTGCATGTGCAAATTGTTCATAGCAAAAGTCGCTGTTTGAGATTTGACGCTTGTTGTTTTGTGTTTCATCTTCAGGGGCCATTGAAATCTTCAATTGTAAATCGATATAACATCCTCATGTTCTGTTTCATTGTCGTCTGTAGCCATAATCAGGAGGTTCCGATTTTTTCTGATTATCTCAATATCTGATATGCAATATAATACTGTCCTCTCATAACTGACATGTTCAATTGGAAGTTTGTTTTCTCGTTCCCACAATTTTAAAACACTAACAATTCCTGAAAAGCTCTCAAAGGTAATTTTATTAGCTCCCGACTGCATTTTGTTTTCTAACATTGATTAAACTCTCTGTGTAGTAAAACAAACGAATAGGCTCTGTCTGTTTTACTGCTGACCATGTGACCAAGAAATGAATGCGGCCATGAAAAGTGAAACTTCCAGTGGTCAGTGGAGTGGAAGGACAACTGGGTTTGACCTCTGTAAAGCTCATCTCTGACCTGTGCTGACGGATGATGCTTCAAATAGACATCTGCACATTATTTCTACAGTGCAGGAGCAAACCTGGGGCTAACCCCAGTAACTGCTTCCCATGAGACTCAGACTAGAGAGGAGGGAGGTTGTCTGTGTTTTGGTACATTTTCGTTTGGCCTGACTTTGCTGGTGAATCTGTGGCCTGACTGACTGAATTTTAGGTGTGAACAGCTGCTAAATAATTAAAATATTTTGCAATATTCAACAAGCAGCATGTAAAACAGCTCAATGTTTTGCCTAGTAGCTGATAATTGTCACTGAAAGACGTTTCTTTTTCATCCCTGTTTGTTTTGCTCTTTGCAAGAACATTAATAATACCAATCTACAATATTGCCCATTACCAGACAGCTGGAAAACAAAATAATGATTGAAAAGCCAAAATTATCTAGTCAGGCTTAAATAGACAGGGATAGAAATAAACCTCACAGCTGCAGCAAACTTGAGTGATTTAATTTTACTCTCTGTTCATGTGTGTCAGGAATGCAGTGAAGCAGCCTTACTAATATGTGTGTATGGAATGGAGCCCACACTCCGGAAATGAATGGATTCTATGAAAAACATCTGTGCTCTATGCCCCCAGTGATCACATCTCACAAGGGGAAAGATACAGTATGTATGGATCCCACAGAGAGGTTAGTGACTGTACCAATGCTGCTGATGTATATTATCAATATATAACAAGGAGGTGTTTGCCCTTGTCAAGTCTTTTATTTTTGGTTTGTTCTTTCATCAGGAGGCCTATTCGATTTTGGCACTATCACCAATTTCCCAGGGAATAATCAATGGATCTTGATTTTTTTTAAACATTAAGAGAACTGATATCTCTGTGTGTAATTTAATGCAGCCTCGATTGAATTTAAGGGGACTTTGGAGCTTTGGTGGATGTATTTGATTTACTGAGTGTCATTCGCTTGTTGGTTGGTTGGCAGAATAATGCAAAACCCACCAAATTAATTTCCATGAGTTTTGCTGGACTGATGGGATGTGGCCCAAGAAAGAAGCCATTACATTTTGGCATGGATCTGGACAAATGAGCAAATCCAGGAATTCCTTTAATAGTTAATAGTTAACATAGCGAAAATGGGCGTTAGCCAGTTGGTGGAGGTATACACTCTCCAAGGCTTATCAAGGTTTATCTTTCTGGGTCTGAATACCAAATATTACCAGATTATATTATTATTTTAGGCTAATAACAGTCCAGATATGCTTTGCAGACGGACTCAAACTCCCGGGAGGTTGTCGGCAGACGTTACTCCGATGCTGGGATGTCAGCGAGATGAAAAGGGCCAAGTACAACTAATATGGTCAAATGTGCCAGAGGAAGGATTGACACCTTTGCCCACTGAGGTTCTCTGCAGAGGATTTCCCCGCCAACTTTCCACTCCTGGGCCAGTAGGTGTGAGATGAGGTCAGTCCAAAACAGTGAGAGTCCTAAAGGTGGCTGTGGATCAAGAGAAGCCATCTGTTTACTACACATTTCACTGTGGAAAGCTAGGGATTGATTAACCCTGACTCTGTTATTAAGGTATGTCTGATGTTGACACAAACACTCACTCCCCCCTAGTTCAGATTAGAAACACTGATTTCACCTGAATATGAGTTTTACCATATCACACAACATATCATTTGACACAATGAGGGGCTGTATTGGCTCAGAGAGAGAAATTGATAGAATGCGATGTGTGAGTGAGAGACTGAGAGTAAAAAAAAAAGATGAAGGTGAAGATGGCAATGGAGATGAGGAAAGACCTCAGGGACGCTCATTCAACTCTGTTCTCGGACAGCTGTTGCCTGGCAACAGCTAAAGCGTCAAAATTATTCCAAGACAATACTGAGTCTGGCCTTGGACACCACACAGTGTAACACAGTGTAGAGCGACATAACGCAGTTTATAATGTTTCAGTGTGATAATGTAAGGTTGCAGCTGTTGAAGGTTGTGGTATCAGATGCAACACAATAAAGTGCAGCCACACGGCTCAGTGCAGTACAACACACTGCACGAGATAAAAAAAACAATGTGGATTCACATAGGGGCATAACTTGGGGTTGAATAAGGGGGGACGGGGGGTTGAGGTCAAGCCATAGTCAAATACATCAATAAATATAATATAATCAATATCATTTTTTACTTTTTATATGTCATACCTTCCACATGATACCAACGAGTAGCCACAGTAACTACAATAAAGTTGGGGTGAAAAAAGTCTTCGAATTGAATCGTATCAAAGGATCCAACCACTTTATTTCGTTTTTATACACAGTTAGTGAGTGTTTTTCATTCAGTGTTGGAGGCACATGCAGGTCAGTCAATTACATAAATGGGATATTTACAGAGACAAGTGGATTGAACACATGAGGGGGGGGGGGGTGATGGACAGAGAGGGGAGAGGGCTGGATCAGCGATTGGCGGACGGCAGAACGTGCGTCGTCGCAGCCGAAGCCAATGGAGGCGCTCGCGGGGTCTGGAGGGGGAACGAGCGCGAACTGGACAAATGGAGCCTGATAAAAAGGAGGCGCGTGCACGTGATGGCACAGGAACAGCTGAAGGCACATCGTGAGGCGGCGACGGTGCGAGCGCGCTGAAGAGGACACGGCACCGGTAAGAAACCAGACTTAAACCATCATGTCCGCCTCGCTCTTCACTTCACACGGGTTTTTAAACATGTGCTTCAACCTAACTATCCGATCAGAGGGGCTTCTTCCAGCTTCTGTCTACAACCTGAAACCACGCGACGTTTTAAAGTTTTTAATCCAGCAAGTTGAATGTAGTGACAGAGAAGGTTTGGAGGTTTGCAAAAATCTGATCGTTCCAGTGTCTTTCCGTCATCTGAGATTTGAGATGCGCAGGATTTATTTTCGAGGAAACATGAGCTGCAGTGAAAACACTGAAAGCTCGTAAGGTTCAGTTTCTCCGCTCACACACACACACACACACACACACACAGCAAACAGTGCTTATGCTGTGTGTGTGTGTGTGTGCGCGCGCGCGCGTGTGTGTGTGTCTTCTCTGACAGCTCTATGTGTCTATGTGGAACTAACGACGTGCTGCTCCAGGTTCAACCCACACAAATGTCTCCCTATCAAGTGTGATGCTGAATACACACCAGGCGGATAGTGTTACTTCATGGGTGAGACATCAATGAGTTTGGGACAATTAAGATGAGGTTGGGGAATATTTGTACAAATGTATTTGTGCAAAGTCAAATGAGGTCAACCCTCATTATCCAGGATGCCTGTGATTCCTTAAAATGTCTTTAATTCGATTTGAGAAAATAAAAGGACTTAAAGGGATTGGTTTTTCTTAAATTCAGCTAAGATGAGTGTTAATATTTTTAAGGCATGTCACTGCCAAAGGTCACAGTGAAAATGTCTCCTCTGCTCACAGACGAAGACAAATACAGTGGATTCTAACAGAGTTTGTTCTTAAATCTAATATCTAGTATTATGAAGTTCTTGAAAAGTCTTGAATTGAACTTGTTTATAGCTGTAGACCCCGTTAATATTCTAGTGATGGTTTAATGTGTCTTAAATGAGTCAACACAGAGACTCAATAGAGACCTTATGTATTGACTATAACAGACTATGACAGTTTCAAATTCATCGTTTCAACTTTTGTGGTTGTGTGTGTTGCGAAGTGAAATAAAAGCCACCACTGTTCATCAGGGAGTTATTTGACTTCTACCACAGTGCTGTACACTATGTGAGGTATTGCATGAAGAAACCCAAAATGTGCTGCTGTTTTAACACTGGTCCAATGTCACACAAGTACTAATTGTTTGCCTCTTAAGAGAACACTGATAAAGTGAACACAACAACTTGTGTGTGCTAATCAATATTAGGCAGACTTAACTGGATCGGTTGTACTGCCTCTCACCAATAAATGCAGTTAATTACTTAAATGATCATCATATATTTTTTACAAATGTGCTATTGAACCTAAATGTGTCCTTTGCTTCATGTCCAACAGTTTAAACATAAAGTCAGATTTCTTTTCTTTTCTGGTTGCATTGTTTCAAATACTTGCACGTCTCCCCTATTTGTGCAATCTTCAAGCTCTATTGGGATTTATAACTCCATTTCTCTGCAACTTAAAAGCTAACTTTGCTGCTGACTCAAACATCTGCGTGGACATCTGTTAGAACGCGCAGGTCTTTGTAGTGTGGAGGCTGGAGGTTTTGGGCTTCATCCTATTAATGTTACTTTGGCATTTTCCATCTTTTATAAATCACTTTGAGAAGTGTCCATCAGTTTGACATGTATCCGACTTTCTGTTGTACCTAGATGTGTTATGACCAAGTACACCTCCGTGGTGGAGATCTAATCTCTATACTTAGCACATTTTATAATAACAGAAATAATTATTAACTGAAATGTAAACATCATGATCATCATTAACAGCATTGATTGAGTTTAAATTGATCATTCGTGACTGGTGCTGTTGATCTCCATACTTGTGAATGCCCGAAGTTTAGAAGTACATTGCTTTTGCATACCTTCGCCAAATAGTAAATCTGGAAAAGAAAGAGTCAAATCAAACTTTTATCGAGCGATAAATATATATTAAGACACTCATGATCAAAGTAATTATAGGATATCATATCGTTTCAAACATCAGGATATTTCAGTACTTATTGAAATATATTCTCCAGCCCAGTTCACAGCATTTCTGCTGTGCAGCCGGTCGTGTGGTGTGAACTCAAGTGACCACCGTCTGTCTATTGTTAGTTGATGGCGAAACAACAGGACACAGACAGAACATCCATGGCTTCTTGTTGAAAAAGGACCCAGACTTCCAGACTGATGACTCACTTACTGGCTGCGTACTGGTGATGTGGTTGCTATACTGTTCTTTTCTGTTGCCGTACATTGATGACGCTATAGGCGTGTAGTGAATCAGACTGGGTCAAAGTTTGTCACTGGGAGCACTGGTGAAAAAACAGCTAATTGTGAATACAGGAAGAATGACAATAATAAGTCATGCATCTAGAGCTGGTTTCAGACATGCACAGGACCCTGGATAACCTCCTGAAATTATCTGGAGGGGCTTTATGTGAAAACACAAATGCCTGTGTCATTTGCTGTAGACGTTCAGTGGAGGTTCTCCTGCAAGCCCCCTAGTAAAAACTCTGGAGAATGTCTGAGTGAGCCCATGTGAGAATACAAGGTATACAGAAGATTTAGAACAAGCAAGTGGGTGTGTTGATGACGTTTTTAACGCAAAATGGATACGAACCCAAAACAAACTAATGGTATACAAATGCTGTATGTCAGGGTGAAAAAGATGTGTCATACATGTGGAAGACCCTGATAAAATGTCAACTTAGAAAGACAACAATGTTTGAGATCTAAGGACAGAGACTGGCGTTGATGTGCTGTAAACAAAAATGTGATCTCCGGAGCAGAATTTATATGTCTTGTCCTGACCCTGCAGACTCCACCCTGGCCCCTCCCCTCATCTGAATGCTCCTGAGATTTCTCCTGAGACCCAATTGTGTTCTGGGGAGTTTATGTCCAAAAAAGGGTTTAGGACATATGAACTGGGCTATTCCTAGAAAAATGCCTGCAATTTTGACTAATCAAAACATGTTTATACAGTCTATGAGAAAAAAGATCTATGATCCTTTACATGCTTGTCAGAGATAAACTATTAGGCCCCTAAGAGACTGTAATCTTGTCATGGGTCTTTGTTGCCGATCTAAGATCCACCACGTATACTGTCATCCTTTTTTGTTTTTCATTTCAAATATTTTGCTGTGCTGTGTGATCTGTGGAATTTTAATCCAGTGTCTTTCTCTCAGACTGACAGTCTGCTGACGTGAATTCCCGCTCCTCCTCTCACACCACTGGCTCAGGGAGAACGGCTTCATCTGTGAGTATGTCTCTTCAGTATCTCAGGGTGAATTTTGTGGTCGGAATCAGTTTCTCACAAGCCTTATTGCTGAGTAAGTAGTGTATAACATTTCTTCATTGGATTCTGAGCAGAAGGGATCAGTTTTCCATGAATCATGGAGCTATTAGATGGCCATTTTTTAGTCTACAGTATAAAACACAGATCTGTATGTTCTTATTATCTTGAAATTATCATAATCTTTGGATTTTGGAATCCATCATCTTTTTCACTTGACCATGGCACAGTGTATATGTATATGTGTGTGTGTGTGTGTCATGTCTATCATGTCTATCTCAGATTTAGGATTTCTGTTGTCATCTGAAGGACATAGGGACATGTTTACATGGGGGTTACCAGCTGGTGACACTCACCAAAGGTGCTGTACCTCATATCTCGCAGACTCTGCCAAGCCTTCTGCTGCCTCCTCACTCCCCATGTCCTTGAATAGCTCCAAAAGCATGAATTCCATGTATCTGGCAGTGGAACGCTTTGTTTAGTAAATGTATAACTGATGAGGTGCTGACACACACACAATGAATTGATGTTTAATAGGGCGACTTGTAAACAATGGTGTGTGTGTGTGTGTGTGTATTGTTAGCTCTGCTACTTCCTCTTAATATCTGGGGCTTTTCATTGAGTCAAACAATGACTCATCCAGAGTCACAATTGCCATGTGTCCTGGATCACCAACTATTTATTTTCTTTGTTTTTCATTCTCGGGAGGCTGTGCCTCAGTAGGTAGAGTAGGAATGCTTAATTAACAGATGTCAATTTCCATCCATTTCCAATGCCAAAGCGTCTGTAAATTACCCCTGACAGCTGTGCCGACAGTGTGTGTGAGATGTGTGATAGAGAAGGAACTGCATATAGATGCACTGAATGATTGTGTGTGTGAATGGCCCAACTGCACTGTGAAGAGCTTTGAGAAGTCATCAAGACTAGAAAATGGTTATGTAGTGTAAATACAGACCATTTACTATTTAAAATATAGCACACAGCACAGTGGCATCACACTAGAAGCTCACATTGAATTAACATTTATTCATCTCTTTCACCAAATTATTAGAAATGAATTCAGTTTGCTTACAAAAGTTGTTGTTTGGAGATAGATTGTCTTCTAACATGACTAGTGATGATACTGACAACACGATAATAACATGATGTGATGACAGAACAACCCCAGAAAAGGTCTCGTGACCTTTGGTCCAGAGGAAACAGGCTCACAGGGTCTGGCCTGTCCAATCTTTCTCTATGTCTGTACTGTAGGATAGAGAGCTCCCTTCATGTGACCTCCACAATGACGTCATTTTCCAGCTGCCACAAATGTGTCCCTCCTCAACAAACTCCTCTGTCTTCAATCATCTGAAAAGCTTGTTTTGGCTGGAATCTGCTTGACCGTGCTGAATGCATGCAGCAGTTTCCACTCTGACTTCTAAGTAATCTCATTTGTCAAGTGTTGATTGGCTTTTTCCTTTTTCAGTCATAGAGCTAACATGTTGTTGGGGTAGTGATAAAAAAAAACAATGTAAAACTGTATATTATCAAACTGTATATTATCATATTACATAAGAGAAGAAATGCTGAAGTTTGAATTCTGAGAGTTAAAGGAACACTGACAGTTTTGAGCAGGGTAACATTATAATAATAATTACAATAGCAATCCTAAGGTGTTGATATCAAACCCTTATGGAAATGAAATGTAATTGAGGCTTGATATTTTACAGTTTTGCCATAAAAGTTATTATAAATTATGCATTACATTATGCATACATTCAAAATGTAAACAAAAATGCATCTACATCTTTTCTGCAATGTTTTTTATTTGATCAAATAATAGTTTTCATATCAGCAAACATACACAGGGTTTTCGATATGTTTGTGAAAGGCTCATATTGGCTGGTATTATTGACGAGCGGAAATATGGATCAGGCTCTATAATGGTGTTATAAACCATTCAGTAATGTCCACATAGTGGTTATGAATGTCAATTAGAGGGGATAGTGTGTTACTTACTGTCGGGCATTGTAACGTCCCAACCCAATAATACATTCTTCTTTAGACCTGATGGAACAATTTCATATCAGATGCAATGTACACAACCCATTATATTCTATGTTTTATGTCGAAATCTGGTTTAGTTAGAAAGTGTAGACACCTGCATGAAGTACAGTGACTGCTTTGTGTGTGGGACATGCCCACACAAACAGAGTGGGAAGAAGGGATAAGATTAGAAGAGATGACAGTGTGTGCCTGAAAAAACAATTGCAACCATCCATTATTGAAATACATTATTAACCTTATATTCATCCAGAGTTAACCAACCAACCTACATTATAACCCTATATGTTATCCAGAGTTGTGTCTGTGAGTGAAAAACAGTGGTGTTTTGTTGTTGTGTATAACAGTCATTAAAGTCTTTGCTCATAGTACCCTCATAGATGAGCTTGTAAATAATATTTGTTTAAACTTTCTTTAAAATTTCCATCCAATTATTTCAAACATTAGAAATATGCAGTATTAATGTAAACCAGATAAGTCTGTGTAGGTTACATAGTTTTCATTTAAATCATATTCAGGTGGTAACCTGTCGCTACAATGCTCAGAACTTTAAGCCATAGCCAAAAGCAAGCGGTTTCAGGTGTGATTTGCATCATGAGCAGTAATAGATAAGTGTTGTTCCCTCTGGCCATTCGTCTTATATTTGTCTTCTTTAGTCAGCAGCTGCTACGTTTTAAATAACTGCCTTCATGGAGCACATTAAACAACAAGAATGGTGCTCAGTAAAGCACATACCTCCTTCAGGGCCAATGGTTAACATCATTTACAAGCTCAGAATTTAAAGGGCTCTTCCCCGGCCCATGCTGCATCCTCTCTCCAAGTTTAATGCAAATTGGTTCTATAGTTTTTGAGTAATTATGCAGACGAAGACACGGATACAGGTAAAATCATAACCTCCTTGGTGGAAGAGACAAACTAGTAAAAAGGTGGCACATCACAGTGTAATTTATTCGGTTAATTACAAAACACACATTTTTCATGCAACTTGTGGTGATATTTAAGTAACCTTGTCATTATGTAATCAAAACAAGTCAATGTGTTTGAAGTCTTTGTGCTACAGACGGATGGCTAATTCTATTACCTGAGAAAAGCTCCTCTTTGTCTGCTTATTCCTCTAGCCGCCTCTATTTCAACCTCAATTTGCTTGTTTTTCTTTTTAACATCGAGCTACGCTTTGAAAAGATTTAACATCATAAACGATAATGTATTGACATGCTTTCAAAATGTACCCGTGCAATAGGATACTCAAAATTTGAAATGGCTGATTCCTGACTGAGCTGTATTTCAATTTGTTGCCGTCTTTCCGGTAACAGCCACAGCTATTAGCTTCAAGGTCAGAAAGAGAATCTGCTTTATAATCTGAGGTGATAAAAGAAGATGCCTTTTCATGTGGCCATTTAACCCCGAGGTGGTTTTTCTCTGGACACTGAAGATCAGAGTGGGAGGCAGTTTTTAAATCTGTATAGATGTGAGACACAGTTTAGTGAATAGATAGTTGTTCCTAAGGTGTGAATAAATTGGGTGTGGTGGTGTTCAGATTGAGTAAATGTGGGTGGGCCCAGCAAGTCAAACAAGACCTGCCACTGTTCCGTCAACAGCTTTTGTGCCTTGTGACCAGAGCCTCTTACTTCTGCATTTACGCACACAGTTTGACGAGTGATTTGAAGCTTGACATATAGAATACGCACTGACACAAAGCTGGGTAAGTTAAGTCTTAATAACATGTTTTCTGTTTTTTGCTTGAAATGGTTCCTCATTTAACAGTAAATCTGGCATGTGTGTGTGTGTGTCTGTTTGTGTGTTTGTGTGTGTGACCACTTTAAATGCAATCCATCACGCTTGTGGCACACAGATAGCTTTGAAAGCTCTCACTGTTGCACTACGGGGTAATTGAGCGTACTATGAATGCAGTCCAAAACATTATTTCTTGAGGTTCCTTTGTTTTCATGCCACAAAAGCTAGCTTTGTGTGGGTGTCTGCTGATGTTTAACATATGACAGCTGCTCACTCACCCTCTAAAGCTCCCTGTTGTTAATGGACACTGTGTGACATAGACTGAACGGTCAGATGGTCAGCAGTGCAGCTTCACTGGCCTCGTGTAAAATATTGGCAGTTGTGATGGCATTGTGAGTTACCCAATTACATGTGGTCAGAGCAGTAAGAGTGTGTCGGATAATGCAAAATGAGCGTTTAACAGACGCCTTCAATATCTATTCTACCGTCAGTTCTCTATTCCAGTATATTCCTGCTCAAGGCCACTGGGGATGGTGCTGGGGGGCTGATATTTCTTTCAATAGAGACAGGACAAAAAGCTGCATGAGGACGTGAACAGAACATGCACAGAGGAATGATGTTTCGAACACTTGACAGATGCAAAATTGAAAATAAAAAGAATACTGAGAATTCAATATCAGGATGAAACATTTGTGTCATACAATTCAAGAGCGTTGATAAGGCCAGACGTCAAAATTGTATATTCCGCTGCAGAATGAATCCGTCATGTCCTCCCTCCTTCATTCTTTACTCAAGCACCACCCCTCACCTCAATGCTCCCGACATTTTCCTATCTGACCTGGAAAATCACCTGCTGCGTACTGTTAATGTCTGCAAACAGATTCAGATTCATACCAAGTCAGAGCTTTCAGTTCATGTACATGTCTCACCACTGTAGTGGGAAGCCATAGCACCTAAGGGAAACCACTGACCACACTAACCACTTATTATTATTTTATGTTATTTAAATTATTTATGAATCTTATGATAATCTTTTACCGATTTTTTTTTACCGATCGATGAAAGGGTAGGAAAAAAAGTGTTATTACACCTGTAACAATTTCCCAGAGCCCAAAGTTGTGTCTTTAGATAGTTTATCTTGTCATCCCAACCGTAAAAGCTTAAAATAAACAATTCACAATGATATAAAATGTCAAACTGTCAGATTTCAGAAGCTGGAATGAGTAGATCTTTAGTAGATCACAATTGCATTAACTTATAATGAACTTCAACAAGTTGATTTTCTCTCAAACAACACAATGCTGGGTATAAGATGTTCATGTTTAATGGAAGAAATAATACCCTTAAAGCAAATGCATGAGTTGTAAATCAAGCAGAAAACCAGAGTCTACTTTGGTTTGTTTTGTTTTGCTTTGATGATACACAATCCACTTCTCACAAAATTCCCTGGTGTTCTCTTCAGATCTTTTACAATCAGCATGTTGAGTGCAGCCTCATGACTGTGCATTCTGTCGCCAGCTTCACATCAACAACCAATTATTTGTAGAGCTCCCGGCAGCCTCCATGGGGATGATCTATTGCCGGGGTTACGAGAATGAGAGGTCACTTGAAGCTTGCCTCTCTAGAATGTGAAGACAGTGAGACAGCAGGGCCAATCCAAGTCAAGCTTTAACAGTGAATACTGCTGTGTCTGTTGCTCAACACATAATGTTGATAGCATATTCCAGAATTATCCCTTAAAGAATAAATAAATAATATAGAGAAACCCAATAGTACCCATGAAGAGGAAATAATACGAGCATCACTACTACATTCTACACAGAGAATGAAAAAAGTAACATTATTTGCTGACAATTTGTTAACTGATTAGCCAGTCGACTGCAAAGTGTTTGACTTCTGATAATCAATTTAAACAAACAAATTAAAAACCTTTCTCGTCACAACCAAGTTAAACACAAGGATGCCCATTATTTAAGTTATTTTACCTCATCAGCCTCAGATTACCACATATTTCAGTTTTTTAAGCAAAACATGCAGTACTACAAAATACCACACAGAAAACACATACACGTACACACATTTAAAAGTATTTGAGCACAAGTGACATGAATGGATTAATGCAGTGGAATGGTTAACAAACATTTTGTATATATCACTGTTAGTAACCATTTTTATTATGGCAACTTTGGCTGTAAAAGTCAATGAATGGAGATTATTATATGTGGATGATTTGGAGATACGAACTCATTCTTTGGAATTTAAGTTGTACAGTAGATCTGTTTCATAAAGACTAAATTATTTAGACTTTCATTGAACAGCATAGTTAGCTTGGAGTGTGATGTTTTCCTTACACTAGTCAAGTCCGCCGAGATACCACAACCTTAAAAAACCAACTGAAAACAAACAAATAATGTATTACACCTGAATCCACAATAAATTGTCTCTCAGAGGCAGAGAACTCCCCCAGCTGCTTGTTACTCAACATAACACAGCTGCAGTCTCACAGTTTATCGAGCCTGTTGGGTTTGGTGGGCACAGAGCAAATGCTTCATGGTGTCTCTGGTGGCATGAAGACAAACTGACCTTTCAGGACCTTTTCTTTGCTAATTAGTATTTTTAGTCCTAAAGCTGTAAGTTGTGGTATCACATCTGTCATTGATTGACTTACATGTCATAGTTTAAACATTAAATGGTCTGAACAAGCTGTGATATATATTATTTTGTAAAAAGTAAGTAAACTACTCCTGCAACATGGTACTAGAGATACCAATATTGCTGGTCTTCGGTACAGCAAGTTTGTCAAGATTGAAATATCTTTAAGACTAATTGGTGAAATGCTGTCTAATGGAAAAATGAAGATTATATAAGATAAGATCAGATAATCTTATCCCACGAAGGGGACATTCATGGTCCCCTAGAGGATAAATCCTACTAACTGTGAAGATCCCCATAGTGCCACATTAAGCTGATATTTTTGTTTCCAAGTAAAAATGACTCAGCTACCATGAGATGGGTGACTATAAATAAACCCTGGGTTTTCCTTTCCTTCAGTGCCACTATTACATTCTTTTGGGTTTTGGGTGAAATATCTTGACAACTATCGTTTCAGTTTTGGTAAATTCTCTATAGATAGTCAAGGTCTGCTGAGGGAAAAACTCTTATATTTATATCTATTTATTTAGTGCCTTCATCAGATCAAATTGAATATATTTATCCATTGCTAGTGTCAGTGTTATGTGTAGTTTGTATTTACTGCTAAACAACAAATTCTAACAAGCTAATATAGTATACTAAAGTAATGATGACCATGATAAACATTTTACATGCTAAACTTCAGCATGTTTGCATTAGTATCTACATCACAGCTCAACTTAAGACTCTTTAGCCTGATGGAGGATGAGATGATCCAATAAACACAAATGTTGAATAGTTTACTGCTGGTTTGACTGATGAGAACACATGTATTATAAACCAGTCTACAGTCCACTAGCCATGCATTCAAAATAATTAATATAAGTAAAGCTGACATTTGTTTTATTATTAAAGAATCAGAACATGTACCAGTGTCATGGGGTATAAAAAATTTGAGTAGTGTTCTTCTGAACCCTGTTGTTGACACATCCATGCAACCTCATACATTATTAAGAACCTTTCCCTCCTGCCGAGATTTGAACCAGCAGTTGAAGAGTTATTTTAGAGATGCTCAAAACACAGAATATCTTTGTGATCTGCTGCCATTTCACCTCTCATGTCATTTTTTTTCATAATAACTCAAAACATCAGGAATCTGCACGTTTAGATGTTTGTTTTCAAAAGCTTCAAACAAGATTGGGTGCTGCTCAGAAATTCTCTTTCCATGGCACTTGACTTGGCAGCAGCTGAGAGCACCAACAACAGCCCCCCCCCCCACCAGAAGTCCTACACTGACCTCAACACAGGGACACATTGTGTCTGCCAACGATGGAGAGGGGGTGTCCTTATTGACATGGATGATATCGATTCATTTCTGTCACACCGATTACTCACTCGTGTGCAGTCAGAGAGGGGTGACGGACGAGACTGGACCTTGAGGCACAGACAGCACTGCAACACATTACTCTGAATCATTCTGATTGTATGTTAGTGCCGTAATACAAACCAAGGTTTAAGAAGCAATGTCATTTGCATTGTCACTTTTTTGTCATGGTATATATAAAGTTCTGAGATTTCTACTTGTTCTTTTAAATTGCTTGAATTAAATCAAAATAAAGCAAATAGCAACTTTTCATGCTGGTGTTTCAACATTAAATATTGCAGAATTTCGGCTTAATTGTTTGCAAATGTTCTGTACAAACAGGAAATAATCTACAGCCAAGCTAAGAGTTTATTTATTATACATGTTAATTAGGGTTTCTGCTGGGTCTCAAAAACTCTATTTAATAATCACAATTTTAGTCTTTAAAATGTCTCAAATATGTAAAAATATGGTGTAGTGAATCATGTGAAAGTTCAAGATCTTATATTTTTTGACATTGGTCTTGAATTTCATTCATTATGGTTTAAAAATGTAACTTGTTGAAACCTGAAGAAACTCTGTTTACCATGAACACCATCTTGATTTAGTGTGTTAGCTTAAACACATACAACAGCCGAGGCTGGAATGGTGTTTGGTCATAGACCTAAGTAATGAAAGAATACAAACTCTGATCTAATGGTGGCACGAGAGGAAAAGTAAAAAAATGAAACAATGAAATGTTTCACTCTGAACCATTTGCCTTGTACGGCTATAATATTTTCAAAAGTAAGGTATTGAAAATATGTTTTTTGGCTATTGTATTTTTTTGCCCTCAGTGTTTGTTTCACTTCATTCCAGATATGCATGTCAACTTGTGCAAACTTGTAACAGTTGAGCCAGGTAATCCCTCACAGTCCATGTAATGTCTGCTTTTTTGTGCAAATTAGAGCGTAATGCATCACAGTGTAGACTTGTCCAATTACTGCAGACAGAAGTGCATCACTTAGAACAATAACGTAAGTGAGACGAGAACGTCAGACATGATGTTCACTGTGTGGGAGGCACAGTAACTTTCGGTACTGGTTACTCTATCATTGTCCCCCCCGCTCACCTTCTCCCTCTCTGTTTCACATGTGCAGGCGACTGGTGAGTCTGAGCGGTGCAGGAGAAGCAGGAAGGAGCTGTGAGAGAGAGAGAGAGAAGGAAAGAGGGGAAGAGAGCGTCTAGCTGAGCATCCTTCAGGATGAAGAAAAGCAGGAGTACACAGTGGGTTACACTGGCTGATGTAAGTATTGATTTTTCCAACCATCCATCTGTGCCACCATGAATCCGTCTATGCATACATTACACATTCACTTGTGATTTATTTGTATCTGAAATGAAAGTTTAGAGCCTCATGCTGCAGTTTATATGCTTACTCTAAATCTGGTTATGTTGTCATTCCCTCTGAATCTCCCCCAAAGAAGATTCAATGGGAAAACACTGAGGCAGCAAGGTGCTGTCTTTGCTGTGTTGGGTGACTCATAAACAGATCACTGTACTGTACACAACAGAGTGCTCACTGGCAGGACACGCTGCAGAGAGGGAGATGACGTGTCTGTTGGAGTAGAGACAGGGGTGAGGGACAGCAAGTTCTGTGTTTGCGTGAGAGAGGTGGGATGATGGAGACAGAGAGTTGAAGGATGGTGCAGGGTTGAGAAGAAAGAGGCAGACCAGGAAGAGCGGGATGATGAGGGTGAGGAGGAGCGGTGTCAAAAGGCAGCTCACACCAGGAGACATACAGGCCGTAGACTGAGTGCAAACATGGAGGACGGACAGAGATCTGACAGAGAGGCCCATCTGTTTCTCCTCCACGCCACAGCGTGTTTATGACTGTACAGGAAGGCCACATCTTTACTATGACTGTCCAACTGGAGCTCAGAGGCCAAGATACTGATAATTATCTGAAAAGTTTTTCGGCTGTCACGACTCTGATTCACTCAGATAAATATTACAAAAGTTGCTTCATGTTTCTCTCTTTTTATTCTGAGTAAAGTCACAATGTAGTCTAGTGTGATGGTTAGGTGGATTAACGTCAAGAGAAAAGAGACCAAGGTGGATTTATTGAAAATTACCTGTATTGATATAAAAAAAATTAAACAAAAATAAAAAACATAAATGCAGATATCAATATGTTGATGAAAGGCTGATATCTAATGATTTTTATCTGCCAAACCATACATAACTTATTTATTGATTATTGGTGCAAAACAACTGAGAACCTGTGACAATGACACAGTTATAGTTATAGAAAATAGTTACACATGTGTATCAGTAAATTAGAAGATTAGGTTTAGGTTTGTGAACTTGTAGAATTGTTTTTTCAACACAACAGTTACACCTCCTCAAATTCTTAATTACAGTTGAACAAATCATATGCTACAATCACAGAAAAACTCCTGCTCTCACATTTATTTGCCGCCGTAGCGGCAGCAAATATGGTGTGAAACATGTTCACGTTTGTAACAAAGAATGCAAATATATATGCACGTCTGCAAGTTGCAAACCTGTAGGATATTCTCTCACAAATACATAATTCAGGCCCCACCTCATGTCCTGCTGTTAGAGCATTCCTTCTTAAGCCCTCATTTATATCACCTTCTTCAAAAAGGCTTTTTGGAGCTTTTCCAGAGAACATGGGAGCTGTTTAGGCTCTGCAGCCAGGAAAGGCCTTTTCATCTTTCTGCATAACACCCACTCCACCTCTGCTTGACACTGGAACTACTCTACCTCCGTTTGAGAATGATTGTTCTACCTTTCATCTCACTTCCTGTCCTTTTATGACCAGCACATGTGATGAATCCCAGGTTTCTAAATTTACCGATGTTTTCAAAGAACAGCATCCTATTCCTGACACAGGCAGAGTAACTCAACACTATTTCCTCTGCAACAGCAGATCAATGAAGAACTAGGATTACATGTCAGAGATGCAATCAATACACAGAACACAATGATAATGATGATTAGTTTGGCAGTGACACAGCAGGGCCACTGTGACATGATGAGAGAGTAGTCGTGAGTCACTGGAACAGTGCGTTTAGCCAGATTTGGTTTTCAGCCCTTTCTTCGTGACGCAGTCGATGTGTCTCTTAAAAGACAGGCACGGTAAATCACATAAATTGTATTTCTTAGAAAGAGCAGGGGAGTCAGCAGAGCTTCATTTACTGACTTTAACAATTCCTATCTGTGGTTTTACTACATTGTCTCTCATTCAGACACTTTCCAAGTTTTCTTCTTTTGGCAGTTTGCTCTCTCGTTCATGTTTCCTCTCTGCTTTCTATCTGGCTCATCTCTGCCTTTTGTGTCTGTTGCTCTCACTCGGAAAAGGAGGTGCAATGTCGCTTATTGTCTTTAACATCTGTCTGTGTCTAATGAGTGTTTTTATTATATATTTTTTTTTCGATTTTGAGCTTTCATCTCTCTTAGAATGCGGAACACTGTCAATTTTAAAGAGAGAGGAACTCTATAACTATGACAAAGAGCTAATGGGACTTGGATCAGTGGACTTCTCTTAACTTTAATGGGAACCTGTTCAGGGTATACCACACCACTCATTGGCTCCAGTCCTCCCCTGTGACCTTTAGAGGATAAGTGGATAATGAATTGCCTTTTGTGAGATGTAACTCACAGTCAGAGTATTTTTTTAGATGCTTCCCCTTGACAAGATGCATGAACATGTGTAACAGGTAAAAGCTACAAGTCACAATTTTCCAACTAAACAATAATTCAATGCACAGAAAATTAATCTACAACAATTATGATAATTATTTGACAATTCAATATCTACTTATTGCTAAATGCATTTAAATGGATTCTGTCACTGGAGATGGAGTTAGTATTTGAACGTGTGCAGCCTTGACCTTCTCACATTGTGGCGAGCGTCACTCTTTCTCCTTCTCACTCTCTCACTCACTGTCAGCCTCCTTCTTTTCACACTCATCTTCTCCGTCTGGTTTCTTGTTTTTTTTCCATAGCTTCGTTCGAAGAGATTCCTCAATTTCCCCTTGTGCCTTTATAAACCTGCCCTGCTTGACTGAAATCTTTCGGTGTGTTTCATTTGCACTTGTGTGCAGTGAACATAAAGTGGAGGGTGATGTATGTAGAATGAGTTCTGGCAGTCCTCCTCTGTCTCCTCAGTGCCTTGTCTTGTTTACAACCAGTCATCACAGTGAAGTAGTCAGGGCTCTTGACTGGAAGCTTCACACTCAGCCAGACACACAATAAACACACGATTCATATTCAGCTTGGCTTCATAGAAATGTGAGCTGGCAGATCAGGTGTCGAGGGGCCCGAAATGAGTTTTGATCACATATTTAATTTTTCACAGTTTGATGAAGAGCATGAAAACGTCAGGGGACATCTACAGGACGGGCAACTTGTTTAAACATTTGTACTTCTTTTTGACAGGCTCTCAAACGTTGCTGTTGTTTTTGACAATATTGTATAAAATGTACATTTATTCATGGAGGCAGATGTGTAGCGAGAAATAGGCCTAGGTGGCAACGCCTCGCCCACCAGGCAACTTTGATCAAAACACATTTTGTTACTAAAAAACTTTTTAAGAAAAGAAATGAAAACCAAAAGAAAGCCTTCCTGTGGCCCATTCAAAATCCATAACGTTTTTAATGTCTTGGCTATGCCTTAGTGCAGGGTAAAACTGATTAATCGACAATGCCCTACATTTTTCGGCTTATGTGCAGCTGGTTCTGCCGATCTGAAAAGGGTATAATGTCTATTACACTGCCCATACAAAACATTATTTGTGCCTACACCACTACATGGAAGCCTGTGATGAACCAGTGTGACCCAATTACTCTTTTTCTCTTTTATTTTGCCCCTCAGGAGAATAAGGAACCTCCCGCAGGACAATTTTCCACAGCCAACACACTTGGCGTAGACATGTGCAAAGTCCACAGGCGTTTCTCTGGCACCCTGCTGCTGCCTCCGTTGTCATGGCGACAAGCAGAAAAGGAGAGGGACAGGGGCAGGCCGCTCACACCCGAAGAGGATCCAGTGACCCAGACCAGACCCACAAGTCTGCCCATCTCCACCGTGCCACGCATCAACATCACACAGGCTGATCCCGACAGGTGAGGTGACAACAAAACAAAGGAGGATCATCACTCTTGTTTTTGTAGGGTATGTTTAATGTCTTGTGATATTTTTTTACCTCTGCCAAGAAGATTATGTTATCACTTGGTCTTTCTGTCTTTGAGTTAGCAGCATGATGCAAAAATTACTTGGGAGATTATCATGAAACTTGGTGGAAGGTGGCAGTATGGGTCGGGAAACAACCCATTGAATTATGGTGCAGATCCAAATAAATGAGCAGATGCAGGAAAATATTGTTTCACTTTCTTTGCAGTGTTTCCCACAGAATTCATTCAGCATATGTTAGTAGAGACTGCACGTGCACAGATTTCAAATGACAGCTACACAGACTAAAAAGTGAAAGACAATTTCTCCCCAGAGAGAGAACTGCATCGTGTGTGTATGTGCACAACTGCAGCAGAAACCATGGTGTGACTATCCGCATGGACTGTAACAACTTTATGGATGACGGCGTTGCAAAAAGAGATGCAATGCAGCAATGCATTAAAACAAAGTTGGAGATTTTATTATGAGAAGTGTTAACATGTATTTTGATTCATAATGAAACTGAGGCAGGACAAATTAGAACTATTAGAATTATGTCCAGTTTCACATCCAGTTTTGACATTTGATGTGCAAATCAGTAAAGTTGGCAGGGAGATTTAGTTGTTTTTCTTTTATTTCAGATCACAGCAAAGTTTTCAACCCCAAGATGGTAAAAGAAATATGAAATAACAGTTTCTTTACTGTTTGTCTCTATTTTTTGAACTCAGTAGGTGCGTGCTGATGTAGGGTTTATGTCTTTACTCATACAGAACCTAATTTAGCGGTAGGTTATTACCTAGTCCAGGAAGTGTGTTTTGTCAGAGATTCCTCGGCATTAAATAACACTGGAAACACACTCATACAATCAAAATATTGAGTCTGACAGCAGGGATTGGCCACAGCTTTCCGCATTTTATTGAGTTCAGTCCAGTTGAGATTATTTACAGAGCCCAAAGAGGAGGCTCTGGTTCTTCTCATCCAGTCATACAGTTTGTTTTGCTTTCTGCCTGTTGCGATAATTTAAATGTAAATGAACTCTACTGATTTGGACGTAGAGTATATAAACACTGACAAAGTGTTAAATGAACTCTGATTTTGATGATAATAATACACACGTTTCTGCCAAAGCTAAAACGTTATTTCAGGTCAAGGACAGCACTCTGACAAAGAAGGAAAGCTCTGTGCGTCCAAAATAGAAACCAATGTATAACACTGAAATCTGAAATGTGCTTTTCTACCCGTAAACTGGATGTTTTTGGCGATATATACGTTTGGTGTAGATAACACTTTCTTCCACACACCTCTACCCTATGAACCAGTTCCCCCTCCTCTGACCAGCTCACTCTTACTCTCCTACCAATAATATTCACGTTTTATAGCAGGGTTGACATGTAACCGTACTGTACTCTGTGTCCCTGATCGTGTAATTCAGAAATAACCCTTTGTGGAGTGTCTTTAATCAAATATAGGCTCACATAGGTAAAATACAAATTGTCTCAAATCATCTGCGATTGCAGTGACTGTGGTCTTATGAAGATGTGATGTGAACCATAATAGGATCTCACATTACCTACACCAAGGTAGGCTTTAGTCTGCATTGTATGTTGGTTAGTTAGTTTTTAGGATTACGAATGAACTATTCAACCAATTTCCGTGGGATTATGTGGTCAGGTGGGGTATGACCCAAGGAAGCGCATAAAATTCAGATGAGGATAATCCAGAATTTTTTTCTCTGTCATTAACATTTCGGGATACAGCGTTTTTTTTCCAACATTTTAGTTTTTCCCAAAGAATGGCTCATGGATCTTAATGAACATAATGTTTAAGGATATCTATGAGTGCATGGATGAGGTGCAGATCAAAATAAACATAGTGAATTTAAATGTGGTTTCATTGGCAGAGGTATTTGCCATTCAAGAAGAGGTATGATTTATTTTTTACTTTGTGGTTACACAAATACAAATTTTTTTCTCTGTTATCCATCTCCCCTACGTCATTTGCACATTAGTGAGACCTTTTAAGTTGATGAATAAGTGAACAGCTGGATTTTCTCCTTTAACACCCTCCTTTTTACCGTAAACTCAAGTGCATATGGTTTCATATGGCGTCATAGGTGGCCCAGCGAAGGGCAGGAAGGGAGGATGAACGCCCAGACTAATCTGCAGTGGTTTAACATAGAGGGAAGAGGGATAGGCGGTCAGATAAACAGGGTGACTGCTGCCTGTTCTCCAGCCCAGATCTGCCTGTTAGCATCTGCCAAGCCTGCATCACTTCAGCACGTGTTCTCTTACTGGACAGAAAGGTCTTTCAGTGTGTGTGTGAGTGAGTGAGCAGCCAGAGCATCAGTGTATGTTGTTGCTCAATGAGAAGGAAGGAAGAGACGGCAGAGAAGAATGTTTCGGAGGTCCCCCCGGTGCAGAGCTGGGCACTTTGACTTCAGCGAGGAAGTGGTCAGTAGACAACGTCTGTCGGCTCCCAGGTGACTTTTTAGTGATCTTCTTTTTCATTTTAAACATACACTGTTGTGCAACTCTTTAAAGCAGAGGCTCTATATGGTATTTCCTTTCTTCTTCAAAATGACTGTTTATTGTATCTTTACAAAATATTTTACTTTGCATCCTTCCCCTTCTGTGAGTCTAAATCTACAGAAATGATTTGTCATTAACATACCACAGTTTTTTTGCCTGCGTCAGATTAAGGGATTAGATTACTGCTGTAGGTAAAGCATGTTGTTATAGTTGTGTGAAATTGTAGATGTCAATGACGCAAAACGTAATGCTGATGACGTTTATTACATGTGTGTAGACCGAGTTTGCACAGTTCCCACTAATCCGAGTTTCTGTGGCAGAGGTGTGGGGCGGAGAGTGTCTCAGTGGGATGTGTGCCTGGTTAATCCTACATGCAGCAGAAATTACCAAGGCGGGGGTGAATGTGGGGCAAATAGTGAAGTGGCCCGTCAGTCCATTTGTGCCGTATTGGGTGTATGCGTTTGTTCTTGCTTGTGAATAGGTCTATAACACGACTACTACTACAGTATCATTTGTAATAAAAAATGCTAATTCGTTTTGTGCCATCTGTTGTTTTTGCCATGTATTCGCTGACCCTTTACCTCAAAACTCCATCAGTCCATCTGACGAGATCATCTGGCTACACAATAGCTTGTCCTTTCCTCCTGCACCCACTGCATGGTGACAAACAGATTATGTCTGACCAAGCATCTGTGGTGATTTCACTATATTGTCAGAAAACACGCTGGAGGGAAGACCTGTGGAGGTTTTCATCACATTTATACATAAAATTTACACAAGATGCGTCAAATCTGAGGCTTGTTGGTTCGCTTTGCCTTTATAAATGTTGCATCTACTGTTAATTAGCTGCCTTTTCAGTATTCTTTCTTTGAATTGCTACCTATATTATTATAGGGATAAATTAATGGAGCTATCACAGGGGGGGATCTAGGATTTTTTTCTAAATCAGGGGCCAAAAGGGCAGATTCAGTAGGTGCACATTTAGGTCATTCCTTGTTTACTGTTGGCTTATATTTTGAAAATCTTTCCTTGTTCAAGCACATTGTGTTGTTCAAAAAAGCTTAGACAATAAAAAAAAACCTAACAAATTGTGATATTTATTGTTAGTTTTGTTCGGAGGTTACTATTCTTTTTTAAAGACTACTACAGGGCACTTTAGGGGCCAATCAGCCCCTGTCACAAACTAGACATGCGGTTTCCAATAAAGTCAAACCCCTCTCACTGACCAGCAGAGCATATGTATTTTAATATTTCCATTTGTTTTGTCAGGGATGGATGGATAAGTAATAATCATTTTAGGGTTTATGCAGCCATCTCTTTGCTGAGTGGAATCTGTGGACAAGTTGCACAAGTCAGTATCCTCTTAGGATGATATTTGATTGACATGGTATTAAAAATTACTGTATTTTTAGACTTTGCCTCTGCAGAGCAAGATGTCAGATCCTTGACGTGGATGCACACACACATTCACTGATTTGCTGTGCTGATAGTAGTTACTTTAAAAGCTTTTGTTCAGCCTCCTCTTCTTTCCTTTCTGTTCATCCCTATGGTTTATCTCTGTCCTTCTAGCTACGAAGGGGAGAATGGCCCTTTGATGTGCTGCAGTCCGTCAGACCTGCAGGCGTCCCCGGGTTCTGGTATGGTTCTACACCCAAACTACGGCGCCCACGGTCAGCGTAGGGAGTCTTTCCTGTACCGCTCTGACAGCGACTACGATCTGTCACCCAAGTCCCTGTCCCGCAACTCATCCATTGTTGGAGAACTGTGAGTTGTCTACATCAGCTTCACTATAATCATCTGTGCATTTGTTTGTGTATAACTCAGTCTTTGCTTTCATTCATTATCTCAGGCACGGAGAGGACTTGATTGTGACTCCGTTTGCTCAGGTAAGAGCTGATTACAAGTCAGTAAATCTGCCTACATCAGGCATCTTTAACATGTTGTGCTAAGTAGCATCGGCTTGTAGCTGTCAGGCACCTCTCGGACCAATTAATGAACTCACTCACTCAGTTATAATTAGCTTCCGTGCCCTCTGGTGGCCTGTAGTAGATATGGCATGGGCTGCTTTTCAATAGCAAGGTCATTTTAGACTCATCAAACCAAACTTACCATGTTCAATCTAATATTTTGTTCCAAACAGTCATTAATGATAGTTATTTATATTTGTATTTATTTGTTTTGTTGATTTGTTCTTAGATTGCTCTCTAATGATCACAGCAGCTTAGGGTTCCTACCTTCTTACAATTTAATGTATTTTAGGCAAAATAAGGTTTATTAATGTTCTGGATTTAGGTTTCAGTTTTTCCCAAGGGCTAAGTACGGTGGCCGAGACATCTCACAAGCGCATTCATGGAAATACAAATGCAAAAGCAACAACACAACTACAAATTCACACAACAGAATCATAACCACAACAGAAGTGACTGTGATTCTGTTTTCGTTGTGGGGCTTTTGCTTTGGAGTTTTCTTTTAATGGCCTTTTTTTATTATTATTCTTGTTTTTGCTAATTTTGATGCGGAGGGGGAGTAACAAGCACCATTCAGCATTGAGAGTCAAAGATCACATTGAATTCACCACAAATGAATTATAGCATATACGTCCGGCAAGGCTCAAAAGTTCCCTAAATGTGCCTGATGTTTTTCCACCAAGATCTATAATTTTTCCCTGGGAAATTGTGCAAATCATGCATCATGATGTAATGTGTGAAATGTTCCTGGATCTCCCCCCTGATCTGGATCCGCACCTAAGTTTAATATGTTCTTCTCTGACCCATTGCACATCTATCCACCAAGTTTTGTGGTAATCCCTTCAGTATGTTTTTGTTTTGCTTACACACAAAACAGACCAAGCAACCAATAAACAAATGGCCAGGGTTTAAGCTCATAGTCAGTCTCTCTGCAGAATAATTTGCCTTAACATCTGAACATAACCTCCTTAAGATCCAAAAATACAGAAACACTTGTGTATCTTCTGAGCACCTATTACATTATCACAGTACTATCAATATTATCTTAGTGGCATTGTCAGTGTGTAGGTTCTCCTACAATAGTCTTATAATGATCTTCCTGTTTATATAGTCAAATATTCCTCATATTTCTACTCCACCATTGTCATTATTTTTCCTCTTCTTCTCATTCTTTTTATCATTTTCTTTTTGTAGGTTCTGGCAAGCCTTCGGACTGTCAGGAACAACTTCACCACTTTGACAAATGTACAATGTGCACCCAATAAGTAAGTCATCTCATTGTATTATTGTGTGTGCTTTGTGACTACAGTTTGTTTTCAGCTATGGAAAAAGGCTTTTATACAAGGAGCCATAATTTCATTTGTGTGATTTTATAAATCCTCTGCAAAAAATACTGATTTAAAAAAGAAAAGGTTTCAGAATATTTAGATGCCACAGTTCAAGATACCTACATCCCACACTTGGGGGCGCCAATTCATTAAAACCTTCTCTAGCACTTTGGTGTCATGAAGAGCAGATCCAAGCATGCAGAGTCTGGTTTGCTGCACAGTCACTAGAATCCCTAACTGGACACACAGTGACATTTCCTGTTTGCCTGACGAGGTTACTTCATCTCATTTTAGTGTCATGAAAGCTCCCACTGATCACTGAACTGGGTCAGTGCTGTGGCTGCACATGCATCAGGTCTGTGCCACAGGGGGACACAGTCAAAACGACCTCGGAAAGATGGGTCACCGTGAGCTGAGCGTTAATTAGACAAAACAATGTTGCACAGTTGAAAATCTGACGTGTCCAGTTCAGAGAGACAGTGCATCTATTCAGTGTTTCCTACAGGAACCAAATCACATTAGTAGAAAAAAATTGAAGCAAACATCTGTTACACATCTGGTTTTAATACTTTGTGACTTGTTTCTCTTTGGTTTCAGGAGGTCTCCTGCTGCAAATCAGCCGCCTGTCACCAAAGTCTGTCTGTCAGGTGAGTGCAGTCTCAAGCCCTCCACTATATGACATGGGCAGTATAAATACACCCACAATAGAGCTTGTGATTCTGGGAAATGTGCAAAACTGTAATATGCATGCACACAGTACAGTTGTGCAATGTTTTTACCGTGGTAGTTGTTTTTTTAATTTCCTAGAACTCAAATGTCAAGAGGAGGACAATGAGATGAGCTTAAGAGTTGAGAGATAATGATGCAAAAATAAATACGCCCCAATCTGTTTTCCTGTTGTGGTAATCATAGTACGTGCAGTATTATGCAGAAAAAAAAACAAGAGATAGAAATTTCACTTGCACGTGACTGGTATCTCCACAGTAATCAACAACATTCACAGCAGCATACAGTGAGTTCCTGTTCTCACACTTGATGAGTATGTTTTCGCAATCAACATCCTCATTCAAAGTATGCACATATGCAGTATTAATAATAATTATAATAATACCAATAATGAAAACAATAATAATAATCCTTTTTTATTATTGTGTTATAATAATACTAGTTAATACAAATATTATTTTTGTATTTTTGAAGCAAATAAACACAATATGCTTTCCAAGGACAAAATTAAAAAGAGCCATAGATGATTAAACAAGTGCATTAAGAACATTCCTAAATACATATACAAACATTCACAGGTATGCATTTACTGTGCATTCAAGCAGAAAAAACAACAGCACACACAACAGGAGTAGTCTATCAGTTTTCTGGAGAAGTAAGTTTTAGGATGAGAAGTAGCATCAGGGTCAGCTGGTCTTATAGATTGTGAATGGCTGTAACAGGATGAGAGCCACAGCAAAAAATGTTATGGTCTGGACTCAGATCAGGTAGATTTCAAGGAGGTAGTGAACAAGTGAAAGAAGAAGAAGAGGAGGGAGGGTGGTGGGGATATTAGTTCCTGCTGCTCTGGTTCTTCAAGCCCCATTTACGTCAGCACAGCCTGCATGCGGTCACTCTCCACTTCCTATCAGCACAAATGGGCTGCTGGGAGCGTCCCGTGGCAGGAAAAAATACAAGACGAGTCAGCGTGAGTCCCTCATTGTCCTTCCTCCTCCACACTTCTCACAAACCTTGACCTTCCTCAAGTCATCGCTGACGAGCAAAACCTTGCTGCTATTGGATTCCATGGTGACGCATGGGGAAGATAAAACGAGGAAAACAAAAGTGATTAATTCTGTTTTTAATTTGTTTTAAACATCTGCAAGACGTGACGCGCCGTTTAACTCCTGTCTCCCCACGGAGCATCGCTGTCATCAACTTTTCTCGAGCATACAAATAACGAACAGTACACCTGCCACTATATAATGGTGATTGTTCCCAATGTTCAGGAGTACAACAATTAACAATATGACAAGAAGCCCTCATATCCTTCTGCTCTCTGTCTCGTGTCTGGGCGGAAAAGGAGAACAGATTTTTCCTGTTTTGCATCTGTGTTTTCAGTGAGCCAATATTATTCCCAATAGTGGAAAAGACAGTACCTGCGTCTTTCTGGGCTCCAGCTCAGCATAGATGTGAAAGATCCCTTTGAATCTTTGACAACCACTGTAAAGGGATTTGAGCAGGACACAGCGAGTGAAACACGTCAGTAATCAGGGTTCTGTGAATCCTGCAGGAAGATGGGGTTGAGGATAGAATGGCTTCAAGAAAGAGTGAGAGATTTAGCAAACTGCAGCAGTGAGTGAGATAGGAGAGATAGAAAACATACCAAAGGTCAGAGACAGACGTCATAGTTTTTCTTTTTAATCAGATGCAATCCGGGTGAATCAGGAAAAATAAGAAGGACGAAATAAACAAAAAGAGCAGGAACATGACTGCAGTCATTGGGTGAAAGTGCGTGAGAATCAGAGCAGTGTGTATTTGTGTTGGGGGGTTATAATAGAAACCAGCTCATCTGCAAGTGCATCAGTTCAGTCGTGAGGGGATTGTAGTTTTCCTTATGTGACTTTGCAGTTTTTCGCTTCGCACACCGTCTCGGCCCCATCACACAGGCAGTGGTCCCGTGAGCCAGGCAGTTTAACAAAGGACGCACTATTCCCAGACTGATTCAGATTACAGACTTTGCTCTATTTTATGCCTGATAAATGGCCCTTTTGAAAAAAAATGCTGATTATGAAGTCCTTCGCTGTCGAGAATAGTAAATAATCTGTAACATTATTCCATTAGCTGTAAGTTTGTCACGGATGGCTGGGACTCCGGGGTACATGGTTAGTCATTGACCAAGAAAGGGATGCAGTACCTGATCCTGTTCTTTGAGTGAATGTTCCCTTTCTGGGATTTGACTCAGCAAAGAAAAATAGAGAAAAACAATCTTCATTCTAGTTGATTGTGAGAGGAGTTACATTTAGATAGATCCAGTTTAGCTTCAACTTTATCGAAAAAGCACTTTAATCACAAAAAATTGTAGATCCAAAGTGCATTTCGACCCAATAATAACAAGAGAAAAATGTCATTATTATTATCACTACCATCTCTAGAAGTAATAACATTAATAAAAACAATAATACACCAATATATGTAG